GTTAGAAAATCTGTAGAATAATAATAAAATATTTATTTTTTGCATATACTTAGTATATGCTAAGTACATGTTTAATATAATAATAATAATATTATTATTATTTTTAATATTTTTATATAGCCTGAGCATATGCTAAGTACATGTTTAATATAATAATAATAATATTATTATTATTTTTAATATTTCTACATAGCCTGAGCATATACTGAGTATATGTTTAATATAATAATAATAATATTACTATTATTATTATTTTTAATATTTTTACATAACCTGAGCATATGCTGAGTATATGTTTAATATAATAATAATAATAATAATATTATTATTATTATTTTTAATATTTTATTATTATTCTAGAAATTCTCTAACATACTATGAGCATATGCTGAGCATATATTATTATATAGATTGATTTTTTTTGATTTTTTTTAACTTACCGTGAGCATATGCTCCACATATCTCACGTAACCCCCTTCAACTCAGTGGCTTGGACCCCCCGCCAAGACAAGTCAACCCCCCGCCACCTGTAACCTCTCGAAAAGTGCGTGCTAGATGGAGTTCGGCGCTGGCTGGATGGGAGGTCACTGCTGAACAATAAGGTGATGGTCTGATTCCCGCTAGTTATGGTATAAGTTGAGACCATTGAGCCAAAGCGGTCGCTCATTTTACATGTCAAGCCACAATTATGCAAGAGAGTTTGAGCGAGCAGAGATGAGAACGAAGCTTGCATGTGGCGATCCATACTCAATTCATAACCAACCTGGTACAGTGTAGTCTGGCCAAAGAAGGATAAGCAATATTACTGCTGCACTGTGCCGTAGGCAACAGTTATAATTGAAAAGAGCATTGTTATATCGGTCATGTATTACATAAGACTGATTGACATTTCCCCAATGCAGTCCATTTACTTTCCATCAGCATCACTTACTTAGACCTAACTTACAGCTTTAACTTACCAGCCACTCAAAGATACATTGATGCTCAAAGCTATGGAGACTGGTCTCGATAACTACTCGATAACTAACGGCAAGAGGATAATACGGTCAAATTCCTTCGTTATATCAGATCACACATCAACAAATATAACATTCAAACGAGTCCTCTGACGCCTCTTAAAGTGCACCGCCTAAATCTGTTATGTGTCTCGTTCGGTCGGAAACCCTGCGACCATGCTACGACTGGACTGGATGGAATGAATGGTTATCATTGATTGGAAGACAACTGCGATGACTACATCATAAGCCTGTGCGAATAGGTAGTCTTCGGTTGGCCACCGCCATGGCTTTATGCAGTTACAAAACAAACTTGTAATTCTGCTCCTGAGACTCAATTCGATGGGTTTGGCATGCTGACGAGTTGTCAACCGCAGGAACTGATCCGCGTACGGCTATCATGGGTTTTCGAATGACGCTGATATCTCCGGCCACCGTTACAACTCCTGATCCGGCTTGAGCATGTTCGCGATTCTAAACTATAACCCCTGGCCGCTCTAGTTTGTCGCACAACTAAATCTTTGCGACTTCACCCAATTGCACATGACTGTGCCTACACAGCTGCAGCACAAGCAGGCCTACACCCATATTGATTGTTAACAGAACTGGATTGTAGAGAAGAGAACTCAGGCATGTTTTAGGGTTGCTTGCCTTCCTCTGTCTATCGGTATTGTCTTTCCCGTCGATGCACTGTAGCGTCTGAGCATTCCACCGGAATTCGTTGTAGCAGGCATTGGCATCGATAACAGCGGCACAATCATCGCTGGCTATCATCTCCTGCGTGCAAGTTTGCGTTTGACCAAGTGCTAAAGCGGCCGAGAGGAGCGCAAGCGTGGCTGAGAGCTTCATGGCTGGATAGGGACGGGACGTCTAGTAGTCGTCGATGCAGGAAAGATCGTGGGGGTGATCAGTCTGCCGACTTGATAGTACGTGGGTGGAACTTGTCAAATACTTTCGGTATTCATCTAGATGACATCAGAACAGTTATAACGACTAACGCCTTGAACTTGACATGGTGGCCTCGTTAAGTCGATTGTCTCTTGGCTTGTTTTGACTTGCCACATTTAGCCGGGGATATATGATATGACGGCACTTGGGTTCAAAAATAGAAACGAGCATTGAAAAGGGGAGTAATTTATTGACTCGATTCGTTCGGAAAATAGTTCTGCCTGATTAAAAGTATATATTTATCAGGGGCATGCAGAAGAAACTGAATTTAACAGCGGACAGTCGGATAGGAGACCCTTGGCATCCCCAAGCTCATGATCGACTTGTACACCACCTCCACGAATGACTGCCATGAGATATCTAACACAAGTACAAGAGCTATACAAAAAATTATCATTGCTTACCGGCTCTCAGTGCCCGGTCATGCTCTAGGCTCCTGAAACAATACAGATCGAGCTTTAGAGGTCGAGCGGCCATGAGGGCGAACTAAATGGGAAACATTAAGAGTCACAGATTCTTATATTGAATGTACACAGTGGGACATATAAGACCAGACTTGAGAAATAAGTAGAATACGAGACCAAACCTAATGATACGAAGGAGGTGTGGTCAATCAAAGTAGGTTGGAAGCACCGTGGCAATTGGCTTGCAAGTCCCGAGCCAGTCATGTTTCTCCACATTAACCGGTATCAATGACAAAGCCCTCTCACCAATTGAAGGAAGTTCCGATATTGATGGACACATTTTTCCGAGACTGGGCGTCAAGCTGGCAGTCTGTAGAAGCATGAGAATTACGGCAATGGCTCAGGCGGGAGCGTCCAGTCGTTAATATGGCCGAGAGCATGACTATCAAGATGAACCCCCTTCTGTCGTTCTCAACTTCGAATCTCGCGGCGCCATCATCATAGCCATCGTGAAGCGTAGTATCAAAGGAGAAATCATCAAGATGCCGCTGAATAGCTTCATCGCCGCCCTCGGGCTGCTCGCGCCCGCAAGCGCACTCCTTCGGTTCCCTTGCTCGCAGCTTACGGTGCAGCGCCTTGACCCTCTAGTCAATCCTGGCCAGAATCCCTCCGCCCATCTTCATCAAATTGTTGGAGGCGTGAGTAAATCTATCCCCAGAGTCCAGTATTATAGTTTTACTAACAAGCCGCAGAATTCATTCAACACGACGATGGAACCTATAAAGCATGATCTTGCAGCACTCTCGACCTGCACTACCTGCCAGTTCTCCGAGGATTTCAGTAATTATTGGACGGCGGTCATGTACTACCGTGCGAAGAACGGCACTTTCAAGCGAGTGCCACAGAAGGCCCAAGACAATTCGCAAAACCAGGGCGGTATGGTATGTATTACTACCTAGCTAGACACTTTGGTGGCATAATGAGATTTTGTTCTAACACACCCCCAGATGGTCTACTATATGACCGATGCGCTATTCGACACCGCTCAAAAGTCATCAGTGACCGCTTTCAAGCCAGGCTTCCGCATGCTTGTTGGCGACTCGACCTACCGCAACCGCGAAGAGTCTAGGAAATGGCGCCAGTTGACTTATACCTGCATGCAGGACGCCAGCACGCGCGCCCCAGAGACCGTCAACTTCCCCACAAAGCCTTGCCCCTTCGGCATCATGGCAAACCACCGGTTCCCCACATGCTGGGACGGCAAGAACCTGGACTCTCCCAACCATCAGGACCACGTCGCGTATCCCGAGAGCGGCACTTTTGAGTCCGGCGGTCCCTGCCCGGCAACGCATCCCGTCAGGCTTCCCCAGGTCTTGCTCGAGACCGTGTGGGACACCAAGACATTCAACAGCATCGACGCATCCGACTTCGCCGACGGCAAGCAGCCGTTTGTTTGGTCTAGCGGTGACCCTACCGGTTTTTCTGACCACGCAGATTACGTGTTCGGGTGGAAGGGTGATGCGCTGCAGAAGGCTATGGATGGGCATACTTACGTTTCCGCCCCTATGCTTAAGACTCAGACAGTTGCTGTGCAGAACCAGTGCAAGGTTCCTGACATGGTTGGCGAGACGATTGATGGCTGTAAGTCATTTTCCTACCCCCTCCCTCGAGATGAGTTGTTGCTGTATTGATGCTTATTCTTCTGTTCATACAGGGCTAAAAGAACTTCCGGGCTCAAACGCCGTTATGAAGCGGAAGGAGTTCACGGCTTGAGGGTAAGACCTGGCTCATGGTCACAGCTGGTGGACACTTACTCAGAGGCATAGTACCGTCTTGGGTCTCTCCAACGTTTTCTTCCTGTATCTCATTGCCTTGCTCAGTTGGGATCGATCTTGGTTGCGTCTATCACAGGTAGTAAGCTCTGGGCTCGTTCCTTCTTTTAACAGTTACTTTAAACTCCCTAAGTCATAAACATGTAATTCCGAGTTTTATCGCAGCTTATTACACTACACCAATGTTAATTCTTTAAGATAGGTGATGTTAAGATAACATTAAAATGGTAGATAATACACATTGTTTAGACCTAGTATACCTCATCTGGTTATGTTTAACCAAACCAACGAGCAGCTAAAGCCCTTTTCTTTTAATCGCACTTATCAACAGCAATCTGGATCTTAGAACTTACCTATTCCGCTTTTCGAACACATCACAGTAGACTCACACTTATCAGAACTTTATCAGTGTGGTGTATGACTCGAGGTTTCTTGTATTCTACCGTAGCACTGTCGATTTAAGCTGCTAAAGCTTTGCTGGCCACGTCCCGCGCTGAGAGCGCGGCTCACTGACACGGTACAATTACCCAGGTCTATGTGTATGGATACTTAAATGCTGGTATATAAGCACCTTTGTGAATCTAGTGTTACTGTAAGGATGTTGAACTTGCTTTTCTTGTGTGCTGTGGGGTGCGTAGGTATGTAACTAATAAGGCAACGACATATCAACAGACATGAAATCGGTTCGCAGAACCCTCTACAACAGCAAAGTAGCCAATATCCCCAATGCTGAACCTGTTCTCAAGGCCGGCTTCCATATATCTATCCTTTCCTCTGAGTGCCCAAAAGAGGAAAAAGAAAAGAAAAAAGAAAGACATTTGCTCCCAATCGGGGAATCGAACCCCGGCCACCTGCGATTTATCTTATAGATGACAAGCAGGTATCCTAACCACTAGACCAATCAAGAATGAAGAAACATGTCATATTCAACAACCAATGGGTCTGGCCGGGGATTGAACCCGGGACCTCTCGCACATTTGCTTTCGGGTGTACCCTAAGCGAGAATCATACCACTAGACCACCAGACCGAGTAGTGTCAGCAACTGTGACATGTGACTCGTGTAACGACAGAGAGGTGCGTTTGAACAAAGAATAGCACGGAATTCTTTTTCTCAACATAGGCTTCATTCTTCATGCTACGTGATAGAATAGAAGCAGACGACTATGGGTCCCTGCAAAACCCCATCGTGGTCTCACTGAGTAAATACAGTACCATCCACCAACTCGCTGAAGACCTTCCACTCCACCAGCCTCGACGCCAGTCCCTTGGGCGGCGTAAACACCAACCGGATCTGGCTCGTGTTCACCGTGGACCAAGAAGCCCACGTGATGCCGTTCGCCACGATAGGCGGGTACACTGGCTGAGACACAGCCTGCCAGGCATTATTCGCCTTCACCTCAACCCAGTAGCTCGCGGGTGCACCAACGCCCTCGCCGGTAAAGAACGCCAACTCGCAGCTCCTCACGCTAGTGTTGGCGCCAAAGTCAACCATGTACCAGACCTCGGTGGACCCGTCGCCCGCCGGCGTCTGCCAGCCGTGGGATATGGTATACGTGTCCGTCGGTTTGGGGAAGAACCATATGCGGCCGTCGATGGCGTCCTGGACCTTGTACGAGTCGGCGCCGGCGACGGACACGCTGCCTACGGGATAGGCCGGGCCGTCGGCGTAGAGAGCTTTGTTCTGTAATTGCACTGACTTGGCGATGGGCGCGAAGGGGCGCGGAGGCGACTTCCGGGGAATTTGCACCGAGAGGCGCTGTAGGCCGGTGGACTGCGCGGCGATACTGCCGTCGACCTCGATGATTAAGCCTCGCGTGCCGTACCGGGAGCCGTCGACGTCCCATTGCACGGCGATCTCGTTGCCGTGGTAGATGACGCCCTCGAGACGGAAGTAGTGCAGGTTCACTGCTAGCGGGTTGATGTTGAGCACGTCGTCTGCGCTTGGGCGGATGCCCACGAGACCCGAAATTACGAGGTCGATGTAGCTGGAGTGGAAGTAGTGAGATGAGCGGTCCAAGCCGACGATGGCTCGACCGGTATCTGGAAAGTAATCCTCCTCTATGTTAAGATAGCCTCCGCGATTCTTGCTGTAATGTAGATCGGTGTACTGGCTCAACAAACTCATGAAGTCATCCGCCGTGATGATGCCCTGCGCGGTTGTCTCTGGGTAGTGATCAAGCACATTAGCAAGGGCGGCGAGGACCTGTGACGTCTGGTATGGCCAGACCGGGCCGTTCCACTGACACTCCCGGTTGCCGGTTGGCGCGTCGTATCGGTATTGTCTCATGTAATACTCGTAGCTAGGCTCGACCGTCCGCAGCCCAAAGGGCCCGGCGAGCTTCTGGGTATCGATCAGATGCTTCCAGGATTGCGCAAACGTAGCTTTATCGGAGGGGAGATCATGCAACCACGGAACGTAGCCGGCAAGTTCGCGGCCACGGATGAAGTCCCAGTAGGTTGAGCAGCTTGTGCTTGCGTAGAACCTGTCGATGAAATGCTCGAATGTGGAGTTCCATAATGAGTTCTCGAAGTTCGTCTTGATGGAGTCAGCTCTGGCGTTGTAATCCTTCGCCACATCTGGGTTGCCTGCCAGGTTAGCGATGTTGGCGATGGCGCGCGCATTGCCGTATTGATACTATGCCAGAAACAAATATCAGCATATGTTTAGCTCATATCTCGATCTTCTCTTATGATTCGATAGCTCGATAGAGTCTGATACTGTAGTGGCTGTTTCTAACAACTCCGGGAGATACTCACCGCATTGATACTTGGACGAAAGCTGACGCCCCCAGTGAAACCATCGACTCCACAAGAAGCGTCGATACTCGATATAGTGTATTCCGTCGCGTCTAACAGTGGCTCGATGTAGTATAGCCCCTTGGACGTGTCAAAATGGTCGCGTTGCCAGGCATCGTAGACTTTCCGCATGCCATCGAGGAGGGTTACGACATCCGACTGAACCCCATCGACGAGGTACACATTCCAGACCGAAGCCGCCATGTTTTCTGAAAAGTGCCTAACATCGAAACCCGCATTATAGATGAAGTTGGCGTGATCCACCCTGAAGCGACGATCCCGGCACCACCTAGCCTCGTTGAAGTGGAACTGAGTGGCATCGTCAAGCCATGCGGACGGGAAGAACTGCCAGCCTACGTCGTCGATGAATTCCGTCGTGATGTAGCCCTGGGGACCGAGGTCGCGTTGATGAGCCCGGAAAATCTGCCAACGGTAATAGTACACGTCGGTGATGTTTGTATCACTGGCTTCAAAGAAGGGAATCCTGTCCCGGTACCATGGGGCGTCGTTGTCAAAGTAGTGCTTTGCGAGAGCATCTCTGTCTAATGCTGCTTGGGCTGGGTGCCCACAACCCAGGAAAAAGGCAAGGAGGGCAACCTGTCGAAGGACAATCATCATGTTCACTCCTGATGTAGAAGAGCACGACAAGTTACTATATTTGACGCCGTACCCGCCGTCAGCGAACTGGTACAGGCCATGCGAGAATGAGCAAGCATTCTTTATATATCGATACTTAAAGTGTCTAAGCAACAAGTCCTATTCGCGTTTCTATCGTCATCTAACCTTCCTCCTCCCTCATTGGAACGCTTCATCCCCTGTTCAGATTCCCCCAACTCTCCTTTTCGGGGGACAGCTACCCTAGCAAGCTGGTCTTGGCACGTAGTATTCCATCTTTTTCTCCGCCCGGAGAGCCAAGGTCGGGACGTCTAGTACCCCGAAAGACGGCGGACATGTTGTTGAAGTGGGAATTTTTCCGGTGGTGAAAAACTACGCCATCGATACGTGTGGCATACGGATGTCATTTACTTCAGTTTCACACTACAAGATTGCTCCTTTATTTTTTGTGTGGGTTAACTCCATGACGCCCTTTTCTCTTCCTCAGATCGACGCTTTAGAAGTGAATAAGCTGCTCAGAGCCTAACAGTGGCTAAACCGGAGATCGGGAGGCTCATCTGAAGAGGTCGGAGCTAGGACAGCTAGAAGACGCTATTGGCCGTTCTGCTCGGGTGAGGAGCACTGCTTGATGTGTCATGTCACTCCAACTACCTATGCTAAGTTAACCATATCTGCATCTTTGAGAGTTGTTTAAAACATGCGAAATAATAATAGCGACCATTTATAGTTAACATAGGCTTTTCCTGGCAGTATAAGGCAAGAGCAAATTTTGAATGTTTCTTCTAATTTAGAGCTGTGGCTTCAAACACGACAACTAAACCGTCAATTGAACTGGATGATAGAAACCAGCAGGGGCCTCACCATTACCCCGCATGGCTCCCGTTGGATCATACCATTCATTATTCCCCACAAGTCTCATGCATGTTATTCTAACACAGCATGACGCAGACAACTCTATCTATAGCAAGTTTCCTCACATATACAAACTAGCCACGGCCGTGATATCCCTCTTGATCATCTCCTGTGCTGTCTGCATTTTCTGGTATAATTCAGGGTCACCAATGATGCGCGCAGCATTCTTGACCTCACGACACGTCTCGTCAAGTCGCGTAATGGTGCGGACAATAGTACCTTCTAATACATCCGTAAGATCCGTGATATTCTTGAAGCTCATGCCTTGAGCCCATTCATAAACGACTTCCATGAGACCGAACCTAGGTCTCGACACGAAGTCGTTGCTGTCTTCTGCGCTCTGTATGACTTGGCGGTCCGTCTGCACCGTGTTGACCTTCTCGCTGATCTCGATGATGGTCTTCATGCCGCGTTCGAGGTTTCCGGTAAGGTTCGGTACTGACTCCGTCTTCTCTTGGAAGACAAAAGCTGACAGCAAAGCTGCGATCTCGGCGGGTTCGTAGTCGGCGAGAACATTATCGAGGATGAGCTCGGTAAGTACCAACTCGTCGGCCGAGTGAATCTCGCATGCTACTTTGCCTTTAAGCTGAATACGAGTATTTGTGTCGACAAATGACAGGTCTTTGAGAACTTCGATGCGCTGCTCATAATCGGGAAGGAGCTGAAGGTTTTGATCCGAGAGAGCCTGACGCAATGATGAGATGTGCTCTTTGATAAGCCATTGGTCATGGCACATAGCGAACTACGATAATGTTAGTATTTCTTTGAAGTTCGACCGAAGCGGGATAAGCAAGGTGTTCAGCGAGTGAACTGGCTCAGTAACTAATTGTAACATCTAAATAAGGCAGCCCCCCCCCCCAACTATCTCATAGTTGATCCCAGATGCTGCCAATTAACATTAGGAGAAGGGAATGAAAAACTTACGTGTTTCAAGAACTTAGGACATTGCATTGTGGCCGTCTGCTCGATAATTACGGCCTCTTGCTGACGTTTTTGGATGATTTCCTGCAAGTTCAAGCTCTTGATCTTTGAGAAGCTCACTTCATCCCATATTTCTGACTCCCAAGTTTTGCAAATCTTCAGCATCTTGTCTTTGGCTTTTGCTCTGCTCTCACCACCCTGAAAGAAATCAGGAATAATGCCATCCACGAGCGTTGTTGTGAGGCATTCGACATCGCTGAGGGGGACATGGAGTGTTTTAGCCACGATATTCCTCTTTTGTTGAGGCAACGCCTTGAGAAGTGGCCTGAAGCCCTTAACGAAAGGCAATATGTCTGAAGAATCTCGTGTCTCCCGCCCCGTCTTGATCTCGAACACATGAACTGTCGGTTGACCGCCTGAGACCTTGGTGCTGACGCCTTCGTTGAGTAGGATACCGGGGGTTCGAACACCCTCCTTGTTCCAAACAATCAAGCGTTTCTGAGAGAACAGCTTCTTTCCGATAGGTATGCCCAGGATGCCCTTGTATAATTCCTGTGTAAGCTGTTTGTAGCTCATAGCTGCTTGATGGCATTGATCCATGGCCGCATCACAGGTACTGCAGGATTCCCGCTTGATCTTAGCGAGATCCGCTTCAGACACTT